TCAACGAAGTGTCTTTCGTTGGTGATGACCAAATCCAAAAGGGATGGAAGTTGGAATGCGCGGTATCTGGTGGTTGCAGCGACATGTTGGGTCCAAGCGCTCTGTTGAACGGCTTCTAACAGCACCGCTGCAAAACGTCCGCCTGATTCGACGCGCTGGAGCTCAATCCAGGAGGCCTTTGGGGCGTTGAAGTCACCCACCAGCAGGAGATGAGTGAAATGGCAGTTGGAGGAGAGTTGCTAAAGGGTTTGTATGAGGAATTGGTGATCTTCAGGGGGACTCGAAGGGCTACGGTAGACCACGCCGAGAAGAAGAGAATCGGACCCGCGAAGCGGGTTTTGGACCCACAGTGCATCGCAAAAGGGTGCAGGAGTGGTGTCAGAGAGGACAATCGGGATTGGTAGGGCCGCATTTACTTAAGAAGCAACCCCATCAGCCCTCCCGTGTTAGCTTCGTGGACTCGGTTTCGTAGTTCGTCGGTTCTGTTCAGAAACTCTCTTTGCGTAAATTTGAATAAGTGGAAAGCGCGGGGGTCTCGCAACTAGAAATGGTGGGCCTTATTAGGATTGTTGACACCCGAGCTGGAAGGATAGAATGGCAGCCAGGTTTTTCAATGTAAAAGGAATTAGAGCCGTGGTAGGAAGGCAGGACGGGAGAATTATGGAGAGAAGGTAGTCGGAAACAAACATGGATTCGGTGAGCGTCCCTTTTGAGACTTCACTCTAGAATGATGGATCCCCAGTAGAATAGATTCTTCTCTTTGACTGGTTTACCAGTTCCAGGAAAGCTAAGTTGTGAGGGGGTGAAATACTGACAGTGAGCTCTGGAATTAAATGGAATGTATAATAATAACGATAATGTTCATTCCCGGCTTTTATGTGGCATATGTCATGTATGGCCACACGTTTCCAGTCAGAATAAAGCGTGACTGGGGTTTGCGGTTACTGGAGTGCTCGAAGAAGTGGAAAATGTCAAACAGTGGGCAATATATGGTTTATTTTCAAACTTGTTTTGATCATGCCGATGGAGGCGCGCGCAGGTCGTTACAACCTGAAGACGGCAGGTAACAACACAACGGGGAGGAATGTACAACCAAGGAGTCATGCTCATTGCATAAAAATTCATCGCAATTTGGGGAACCGAAAGAATACTATGACGATGGACATGAGGTCCGACAGGTTCGAAGATGAGGCCGGCTGAAATGAACTAAAACTGAGAAACGCTCCTGGCCATGAATGACATCGGGCGTTTGGGTAAATGGCCAGAGTCTCAACGAGCAAAGATGCCAGCGGCTAGACGCACAGTGCATTTTTCTGTATAACCCTGCGGGCGATATAAAAACTTTAACGTCAAAATGTTCCAC